GGATACGAGCTTATAAAGATTGATTTTATTAAAAGTGGCATATGCATTAAAAAGAATGCAATAGAAAATATTGATATTTTTTTTTCAAAAGTTTATTTGAAAAAACCATTTCCAAGAGATGAGATATGTAAAAACTTGAAAGATTTATGTGATGATGAGAATGTAAATGCGGGTATGTTCAATTTTATTTGAATGAAATATTATTATTTAAAAATAAAATTTTATAAACTAAGGATGTTTTTTTAGACACAAAAATATTTATCAAGCTCTTATTACTATCTTTTATGGTTCCATCAACTGTCAAAATTTCGCAAGGTTCAAAAAAATTTTGGAAACCTTCTTGTTTAGAAAGTTTTGAGGGTATAATTACTCACGTCAAGGTTTGTAAGCTTGATTTGTAAGCTTGCTTAAGCTTATCTAAAAAATAATTTTGAATTATATTATTACTAAATATTAATCAATTTGACGACTTTTCCAATTTTTATAAAATAAATTTACAGACTTATGGTGATATTGAAAGGGCCAAAGAAAATAAGAAAACATATTCAATTATTAAAAACATCAGATTACAACCATATGTAATCGCTGTAGGTGAAGAAGACTACAAAGTCGAATCAGCGTATTTGATTATTGATGACTACGAATACAAAGTGTCGTCGTTAACTGAAGCTATAGATATTTGTTTTCAATCGTTTCACGTCTTCAGAGCTCAATACCCACCGCAAAGTGATCACCTTTGGTTGTTACTGCAATATGGAATTTATAAGATTCGCACTCGATGGGATCGGTTAGCTTTAAATGTGGAGGAAACCTTGAATGATGCAGGTTATCTTGTGCCAGTTTTAAATGCTAGTTAATTATTAAATCTTATATCCTTATATAAATGGTTTTATTTTAAATTAAAGTTTATATTTATTCTTACTCTTTAGTTACTTGTGCAAGATAATTTAAATAATTTTTTCAGTATGGTTTTACTGGAATGTCCATCTTGTGATTTAACTTTTAGTTGTTTAAACAGTTTTTCAACTCATTTGAAGGTATGGCACAAGAACTGTGTTACATTTAAGTGTAAAATTCCTAATTGCATGAGAGTATTTAGTAGAAATAGTGCGTTTATTAAACATTCAAAAGAGCATTTTAATGTTAATTCACAAAATATAGTAACAGTTGAACCCTTAACTAAAAAGTTAAAACTAGATATTGAAAAACCATTCTTTTCAGAAAAAATCGATTCAGTAAGTGGAAAAGTATGTTTAGAAATACAAAACGAGTTACAGCAACCATTAAATTTATCAAAAAGTAGTGATAATATGGAAAGAAATAAAAAAGATTTTGAAAGGCAAATTGCAAAAGAAACGGATCTTTTTGTATCTCAATTATATGCGAAAAATGGCTTATCGATAAATTTAATTACGTTTTTAAATGCAGCTTTTTCAAATTTTTATAACAAAAATTTTGTTGCAGAGATTGAATCTCTTAATGATAAGACATTTAATTCTAAACCTTTAACAAACATTTTAAACTATATGAAAAATACATTTAATAATTATTCGAATCATCGCAAAGCTTTGAAAAATTTACAGAATCTGTATTATATTGAACCAAAAGTGTTGCGTGTCGCTAATGTTTTAAGATCAAAACGATTTGGTAGAAAGAAAAAATATACATCAGTTGAAATTTCTGTTGTAAGCATACCTATAAAAAATGTTTTAAAACATTTTTTAGAATTACCCCAGGTATTTTCGTCCATAGTTAATTATATTAAAGATAAAGAGAATTGTCATTGCATTTGTTCGATATTTCAAAGTAAAAGGTGGAGAAATATAAAAGAACGATTTTCAAACAAAATTGTATTCCCATTATCATTGTTCGGTGATGATTTTGAAATAAATAATCCTCTCGGCTCACGAAAGGGATACAACAAGCTGCATAGTTTTTATTGCAATATCACTGCAATACCGCCTGAGTACGCTAGTCAACTCGACAATATATTTTTATTACAAATTTTTCGTTCTCAGCACAAAAAAATTGTTCAGCATAGTAAACTTTATTTTCCAGTAGTTCGACAACTAATAGATTTACAGAAAAATGGCGTGACTATAAATGTAGATAGTAAGAGATTCACAGTCTATTTTGATATTTTTAACATAAGTGGTGATAATCTAGAGTTACACAATCTATTAGGTTTTAACGAAAGTTTTAATTCTAATTTTCCATGTAGAATATGTTACATGGATAAATATCGTTGTAAGATAGCAATTAAAGAAGATTTGAATCTTTTGCGCTCTACTGAAAAACATAGGAACGATATTAAACAAAAAGTAAATGGTGTAAAAACTTATTGCGTATTTAGTAGTATCCCTGGATTTGATATATTTGAATGTGTCTCTTTCGACCCTATGCATGATGTCCTGGAAGGGATTTGCCGATATGAAGTTGCTGAAGTATTGAATCAATTAATTTTTATTGATAAATTACTCACGTTTAATGTACTTGAAAAAAGAATGGCCAATTATTTGAATATTCACGCGTCAAATGTTTGTCCACCGCTCTTGTTAGATCACATAAGAAATAAATGCTTGGTAATGAGTGCTGCTGAGATCAAATTCTTGATATTCAACTTAACTTTTATAATTGGCGATCTCGTACCGACAAAAAATAAAGCGTGGAAGTTATATTTGTCATTGCGGAAAATAACATTTCTTTTATTTGATTCAACCTTAACCGATCAAAAAATTATTATTCTAAAAAATGAAATAGCGAATCATCATAAAATTTATCGTAAAGATTTTAGTGGTACTTTGAAACCGAAGCACCATCACTTATTACATTATATCACAATTATTATATTTTTAGGTTTGCCACGTTTGTTTTCATGTATGCGTTTCGAGGGCAGACATAGGCCGTTAAAAAATATAGCAAATGCAACGAAATCAAGAAAAAACTCTGCTTTAACTTTAGCTATAAGAAATCAGTTGCAATTAAATTATAAATTTTTATCACGTCAAGGATTTAGCAAAACGATTGATTGCGGTATGCAGTTATTCGCTACGGCTGATCTGTTATCTAATTTTCAATTATTTAAAGTTACGTCATTGGACATTGGCTTTGATTATGTCCCGGTTTCTTGGATTTCAATTAATAGTATTAAATATTATACAAGTTCGGTATTAATAACAGCTGTGTTAAAGAAGAGAATTGATTTAGGAAAAATAGTCAATTTGTTAATAAAAAAAAAATCTAATGATGTTATTTTTATTTTAAAAAAATTAAAAGTTTTAGATTATTCTAATCATTTATGTGCGTACGAAATCAACGAAACCAAACAATATGTTGTTATTTTTGAAAAACATTTAGTTAATAAAAAAGTATATAATTTGCAAAAAATAGGAAATTCTAAACTATATGTATCATACGACATGTAAGTGTATTTGAACAATAAAAGTGACTTTATAAATATTTCATATGATTTAATGAATTAATACTAACCTAAATTAAACATTCTTAATATTATTAAACTATTAATTAAACAATTTATTGTCAATTATCTTAACTATCTTCATTTCACACTATCATCATAATTTAAATAAATTATTTCTTCATTGCCCACTAGATGGCTTGAATTCCTTTTCTCGCAAGTGGCTAAGGTATATTGTAGTTAGTATATAAGAGAATCTTACTGGTATATTAAGTAAGATAGCGAAATAAGCGAGATGTTTGTAAGCGATATACATATATATATATATATACATATAAGCGTTGCGTATACTATAGCTATTTAATTATAGGTTATAAGCAAGCGTCGATATAAAAGTAAACTGCGCTTTATCTACTACAATATAAACTTTGTAAAAACAAAAATAGCTTTCAATCATCAAACTCATAAATCATTATTTGCATAAAATATCGTAAATCATAAACAATATAAAAGTAAATTCTATTTTATCAAAAATTTATCCTTTCATGTTAATTCAACTTAAATATTTATTAAAATAACTTAATTAGTATAGTTGTTTTCAACGAACAAGTAGTCAATTTGATAGAAACTTTCCTTAAAATTAACCATCTGGGTGTCAATTTAACAAAATAGTATAGTTGTTTTCAACGAACAAGTAGTCAATTTTATAGAAACTTTCCTTAAAATAAACTATCGAGGTGTCGATTCAACAGAATCGGGGTGTCTATTCAATAGAATCGGGGTGTCGATTCACAGAATCGGGGTGTCGATTCAACAGAACTTGTCAGTAAAATAAACTAACATCATCTTTGAATAAACCGTAGTATCGGTTAGCGCATTTCAATTGAAAAAATTCCGTTGAATCAATCGAAATCGGTTTTCAGTGTAGGTTTTAATGAAATTCTAAATCATTGACGTTTACGTTCTATATCTGTCTAGCTGATTAACCAACCGTAAAACCTGCTAACGCCAAAAGAAATAATCGCATTCTTTATAATTCGTCCATATCGCTGCCTGCAATATTGCAGTGAAGATATATATTAATTATTACATTGAAATGAAAAGATAAAGCGCGATACTTGTATTGCAGGTGCAAAGACAAAAGATAAATCCAGATGATCGACATGGTTGTCAGGCTAATGTACGAGAAAAGCACTTTCTTCGGGGGCTCGCTGAACGTTATAAATTACACTACTGGGGTTCTTTGCCAATAAAAATATCTTGCAACGTCAAGGCCAGCTAAAATTTTAGAATTTATTTGAATTAGGAGTAAATTCATTGTGAAAATGATGCAAGGTTTATGAGCATTTTTTTTTTTAAAGAAGCTTCTACAGCGATGAAACTTATTGCAAAGATGCTATTGCACAAAAAATGTCCTGCAATAAAAATGTGTCGGTTGTTTTTTGTAAGGAAAAAAAACAAGGAAACGCAGCGCCCGAAAATCCCTTTGCCGGACGGTATTGCGCTGGCAAAGTATCGGCCTTCAAAAATTGCAGCCGATAAACAGAAGAATAAAAAGAAGGTTTATTGGCGAACGAAAGGGTCAAGTGCGCTGCACCGGCTGCAAGCTCAAGAGCTTGATGCGGCTGAGCTCGCGTCGTCTGCGGTGCTCCTCGAGCGACGTCTGGTTGAGTAGTCGCGGCCCCGTCAGCATCATGACGATAGCGCCGAGTGGCGCGAGGAACAGGATCGACACTGCTGACATCTTCACCACGTCCTCGGCCAACTGCAATTCCCGCTCGTCGTCGTTCAACTTTGCCTGCTCGTACGTCATCGGAGCCAGTGCTGCCTGAAAAGCGAACGCCAATTAGCGCCTATTCGGGCGAACTTATTGTTGTGCACAAATCATCGGCTAATGCAATGGCGAGAGTACCTGCAGTGTCCCTTTGGAGATCCAGGCTAGAGCGATAAATAAGCGTTCTTTCGAGTTGAAGGGCGTGTGGAACGTGGCCAAGTACGCGAATATAGTACGGACCTGCGTGCCATAAGTCACTTGTGTTATTTGCCTCTGATTGACCGCCGGCATTTAACGAGTTGACCAACGCCTCTTTTTAGTTTAGTCGATCGAACTTTACCAAAGGAAAGAACAAAAAAAAAAAAAACAGAAAAGAAAAGTTATTCGAGTCCTTTATTTTTCGCGGCAGTTCGCGCAGCACAAATCGATCGCGCAAGCGCGCAAGCCGAGCAGGAGAATTTGAAGTGACAGGCGCAAAATGTCGCGTTAGCACATTGCACGGCGGCGGCGCTGGAATTTCGCTTACCAGCAGTCCCCCGGAGATGCAGACGACGTAGAGACCAAATCTGGCGAGAGACCAATCGCGAAAATCGATTTCGGCACCGATCACCCCGACCAGCACTGGCTGCATCAAGTGCCACATTATGTGCACTGCTCGACGCATTGGCCTCACCTGCACGCACATGCATAAGCCAATTGCACGAAACGCGGTGTTATGTTGTACGCGATTCTAACAATTTGTGTGTCTGAAATCACGAGCGGCATTTTTATCGCGACTATTCTGCTTCTTAGTTTTTTCTTATCCTCGATTATGGATCACTTTTCAATGGAATTTCATTTCAATTTCAATAGAAAAAGACAATTACGAAAAGCGTTTCTCTGCAGTCGGAATGAATGAGAGTCGTTGGCTTCTCGCAAAATATTACCAAATTCCCCGATATTCGGGGATCGCTCCGTCTGCGACAAATTTAAACTCGAAGAGTTCATTGAAACTTGGTTTATTTATAAAGCTCAGCTGAATTCAATGCTGCGGATCAATCTTCGTTAGTTTCAATGTGCATAGAAAGCTTTTGAAGATTGACGTTTGGGCGCGAACGACGCGAGTAAATCCGACGAAATTAAAACACGAATTTACATAATGTGGAGACAAATGAATAGGAACCGATGGGACACTTACGTCGAACGGCACGCTGAGAACTCGCCAACCCATGGTGGCAACGAGAGACATTACGATGGTAGCGAGGAAACCACCTCCGGTTTTCAAGACCTTCGTCATGGCCGTGGTGCACATGAGCGAGCCCAGCACTAGACCGCAGACCCGATACCACAGCACGTATCGCTATCGGGGCGGAAAGCTCGCTCGCTTACACGGACACCCTTCCGTCTGCTGTCTTGTTCATATTTCATAAACGCGCCCACGGCAAAGATTCGCGCAATGGTCTACTTGGACGGGGATTGGAAAAACAGATTTGATCGTTTGACCGAAAGCTGCGACGTTTGCGCGCTCTGGCGAAGCTCCTGCGCTCATTTTCGAGATAAAAGTTAGGGGACCCACGGTCGAGATCTAATCAGGCTGAAAGCCTCGACCAATTTACTGCTCGTTTTCCCGTGGATTTTATCCGTGGCTCGCGCGCTCGGTATGCTCGGAAATGCAAGTCGTGTCGAGGAGTCGACTCACGTGTCTCCTGTGCGGCAAGAAAACGAAGAGGAGGCCGAACGCAGCGCCGACGGTCGTGCCGAGCAGCAGATCCCGCAGACCTCCTGAAATGTAGGACCACCACTGGCTTCGAAGACCCTCTGCAACGGAGACGATTGGCACAGTCGTCGGAGAGTCGGAGCGGCCGAGCCGTCGATCGCCGGGGCAGCTCACCGTCGGAAAACACGAAGGAGAAGCAAATCGAGTACACGGAGACGATGTGCACGTCGTCCAGCGACGCGGCGGCAAACAGCAGCGTGGAGATTTCTTTGTCCTCGCCGTAGCCGCGCTCGGCTAAGGCGAGCATGCAGTTGATCGGCACCACCGGCGACACGCAGGCAATGATGCTCCTGCCGACAGCCACGTCGCCGTTAGACGCAACCGCGCGAGCAGAGAGCCCATTGGGGGCGCGCGTACCCCGCGAGCAAGGCCCAGACGAGAGGATAGCCGAGGAGGCCGCGGCACAGCAAGGCCACGGCGGCCAGCTCCATGCTGCACGGCACGACGGCGAGGTTCAGCACGAACAGGGGATGCTCGCGCAGCGCCAGCCAGCTGAACTGCAATCCGGCTCGCAGCATCACGAACGTCACCGAGAACGTGCGCAGCTTCGAGCTCACCCTCGGGCCCAGCTGCTCGTGGATGTCGTACCTGTCGTTCTCCGAACCGGACGTTTTATCGCCGAGTCGCAAACGAACGACCAGGCCGTAATATCAATACCAGCCAGCATTGCGAACGATTATGCCTGCCAGTAGCATTCCAAAGACCGGGGGCAGCTTGAGGAATGGCACGTAGGCCAAAGTCCAGCCGAGAAAGTAAGCGAAGACGAGGGTGGCGAGTAGGCCGAAAAGGTTGCCGCCCGGTAGCATCGGCTCGCCCACGTAGTAGTAGAGAATCGTGCCGCACATGGACAGCATCAGCGTGACGGTCACCAGCCAGAATAACGTCTCGTAGGTGAACTGATCGCAGCACCAACCGATCAGCGGCTCGGTCACGTTTACATCGCGAAGACGACCGTGGCAGCAAGTGGCGCGCCCACAGCACGTCAGGTCCTCGTCTTGTTCCGCCAGTGTCTGTGCCGAGCGACTTTGCATATTGCCGTGGCCTCGGCTGTGCGCTTGATTTTTCCTCGCTGCTCGCTGCGATCCCTTCCGACGACGAGCTAAGCGAAGTTTGGCGTGTCGTCGGCAAACCACCAGATTCGGTTGGGCACTCGATCAAGGTAGCTCGAACTCACCTGGTTACTGCCGATAAATCGCTTCGAAAGTCTATTAGGAATACCCAACCCATAACCATTGCTTGGACGAGGTTATATTGTCGCGTGAAGTGAATAATCAGGAAGCAGCCGTCAACTGTTTCGAATGGCCAAACGTCTCGCGTTTAATAACAGTCACCTAGCATCGATGATTTGCAAATAAGCTAGGCAGTCAATTAATTGCAATATGATCTCGTAAAGGCCGCGTAGCCTCTTCGAGCGTGTAGCATCCAGCACAGCCGATTTACCGCACGACGTTGCGGACCCAGTAGCGTATGTAATAACGTTGCTTTGCTGCAGACGGTGCATGTCGCAGCAGCAGCAGCAGCAGCAGCAGTAGCTTGACGCGATTACGCCGGAGCAGGAGTCGCTCATTTGCTCGTTAGGGCTGAACGAGCTGTTAAGCCGTCTCTTGTACTGTTGCTCTCTATATATATACACATACACACGCATACCTGTAGGTGTGTGCCGCTGCACCTGTAATGAGTCTCGGAGAGCTTGACGCCATTCCTCGGATGCCCCCGTAGGCAGCTCGAAGGCTCCTTCGTGGCCTGTATCGCGACCGTTGCTCTCGAGCCTTTTCCACTGCAATTCGCTTGCGTTAACACTCGCGAATAATCGTCATTCGTTCGACGATGCTCTCCATCAGTTTAACCATTAAATCATATATTCAGGTTTGTTCAGTACATCTACCAATGCGTCACGTTTTCATCCCTATATTTTTCATTGCAGCAAATTTTCATTCGAATATCATACTAAACAAACCATTATTATTTCAATTTCATTTCATCAATTTCAATTTCAATTTCAATTTAATTAAAATAGCGCCTCCATTGTCACCCTAATTTTGTATTCTTTAAAAGCTGGTTTTACGTGGGTTAATAAAAAACCCATGTCTTGATTAAACTCTGCACGAGTTACGTATGCGCCACAAAAATTTTCGGTTTCGCGAGAAATGCTGATCAAACGAACAAAGAAATCAAGTAGAGTAGGTTTCTGTTTCACTAGTGCCCGAAGAATTTGCTGATGATACAAAAACCAGTCGGTAGCATATGCGATTCAAAACAAATTTTCATTATGAATTATTGTATCGATGGTTTAAATCTGTATGTAACACTTTTCCTTCCTTATTTTGAATTTATGATCAACAAATGAGACGCGTTACCATTTACTCAGCAAAAATACTAAATTCAAAGCAAATAGAATGAATAAATTTTGCAGTAGCGCCTTGAACACTAATAAAAAATTTTTCAAAGTTCACGTGAGAGTTGCTTTAGACAATAAATTCCAACGGACTGCAAAGCGAGCCTCCGTGGGATACTAAGTTGTACTGGCCGGCAGCGGCTGTAAATCTCACGGTTACTGTAACTTGCCCGAAACAAGTATACAAAAATCAAATAGTTGCTAGAACTTGCATTAGTTTCCATGATGTCAGAAAAGGTGATAGATTAACGTAGTTAAGGGCGTCGATTCAACAGATGACGTGAAATTGTACTTGACTAGGTCCAAAGTTGAGTGCAAATTTTTCATTTGTAGTGAATTGCAGATGCGGAAAAATCAACATTTATCGGAAATTTAGTGCTATCATTTTGCATCAGCCGTCATTCGTTTTTCCTTCTGTTTGAATAAGCATTCGATCGATTTCCTTATGTTCGTCGCAATGATCGTACACGTAATCACGTGGCTACTGCGCAGCTTTACCTTCGATAATCAGTTTTTGAAGGCACACATTTTTATCAAAATAATGGCCGTGTCAACGTTGAAGCATCGATCAAAATAGCTGGCAATATCAAGGACATCGACGAATGCAACCAGTTTATTTCGATTTGTTGTGGAAGGGTAGTTTCTGTTTCAACAGATATATGTCACAAGTCTTCAGAGCAAAAGTCATCGATTAAACGTTACGTTATTATTGATTGAAGTAGCTCCATCAAGTATCGTTTACGTATTTTTTTCGAATATATTAGCTACATTAACAATGTTATTATAATCAAGCTGATTTCATCGTTTCATGTAAAGCAAATAAAAATGTCAATTTAAAAGAATGTACGGAACAAATGCAATCACTACAATTTTGGGAGCATATTCGTGGCGTTGGTGTACTGCCTCTTGAATGAGTAGAGATCCGAAGCTTGCCGAAGAAAAGTCTGATTGGATAAAAGGAAGAGAGCTTATGGAAAGATCAGATGAGTTGAGTGGTTGATATTGGTCAAGTATAACTAGTTTTCGAACTATCCCCAAGGCTTATGCATATAGACGTGCGGCAGCTGGCCATCGAAAAGTTTTAATTGGCTAGCTCGTTTCATCTCTCTCTTTCTCTCTCTCTTTCTCTCAATTTCCACGGCCGATGGATTTATTTATATTCAATCGGATATGGCTCGGCTCGTCGTGGCACGGATTTTGTTGACTACACGTCTGGGCGACAAACGGAAACGCAAGATTCGATGATTACTACCCTCTGCCATGACAACCGTGTAATTATATAGGACAGGTTGCTTGCAACTTGTCTGTCTGTATGTGTATGTGTAGGCTTTCGACGGGCCAAATGATGGTGCACACAGCATATGATCGGTGCTGTATATGTGCTTATCACAACGTTGCCCCTTAAATGGCTACAAATCAAGTATCAAGCTTGCTAGTATTAAATTATCTGATAGATCACTGCCAGTTTAATATATAAGCGATATTCACACGTTTATTAGTCGTATTTAATATAAGCACGTCTTATTTTGGTGCTCTCATTACAATTTTTTGAAATTAACAGTCAGCAGAAGGATTATAAGGCAGGTGGAATCAATAGGGAATTAAATCTAAGAATATGCTAGGATTTTGAATTCACGGCTGCTATCAAGTGGGAACAGCACCATGAATCTTTCCCAAAGGTGAAGTTCATTTTGCAGCAGCCGTTTTAAGCTCACACATAGACGATAGAATTTACCAGCTCTTTGAAATTCCCTTTAGTGAATGTTTCATTCGAATCCTCCAAATATTTCTCAATTTATACTTGCAGTAAACGTAAACTACTTGATTCGTCTAGCTTTACTCTTTCAAAAGCAGTCATCCGCAAATTTTATTTTTTCAATTATACCCAATATGTGACTATACCGAAAATTATTAATGAATTATGAACAACTGATACCATCATCTGATTTTAGCGTTGCAATTTTTGATTCATGTGCATAGTCAAAAAGCAATAGCTTGACATTTAGCCAAAATACATTGAGTTATTCAAATAATTAAATATCGATTTTTGTTTTTCAATATTCGTAAATGAATATTTACGAGTAACCGTGACATTAATATTAATATGCATCTATTATAAACTGGCGTATAGTACTAGACAACATTGGTATCGTACCTGATTACGTGTCAAGCGAGATTTTTGAATTGCTGTTTGAATAGGTGCACTTTCGTCGTATACCCGAAAAGAGGTCTCGATAGCATTATATCAGTCGTGCGATATCCCATTTAAATGCTGCTGCTATAAGCTACCGAATGAGCCGTCACTCGCTGATCAATGCGTAAATGTCAATCAAAAGTTACAGCAATTTGCACCTAGTGGTCCCACATTGGATTCATCCTAGCCTTATTTCGTTAAAAAGAGGAGAGGGAAGTTTATCGAAGAAAATTTCACCCAGTTGCGCGTATGAACGTAGAATATATGTATACTGATCTGCAGAGAGTACAAGCGACTTTACCAAGAAGATGGACAAGGATAAGGAGAAGTTTGGCGGACTTAATAGCGAAAGCGCCATTACTATATCGGACGAGGGTCACGAAGAACAAGTTTTGCACCCGATGAAGTATTACAATGTCTAAACGTAATGCTGTATTATTCAAACTAAGATTTAGTATAGATCTTAATATACGTGCGTAGTTTCAAATAATACGTAAAGACAAATGATGCGAAATGATAATGCTAGTGCATAATTGGAGAACGAAGACTCGAAGTGTTGTTCACGAAATGAGAAAAAATGGAGCAGACGCGGTATAAAATTGTGCATCGATAGCTGGAAGTAAATTGCCCATCTACAGGAGCTGCCGTTATTGTAAGCTTCACGGAGGGGCTATCCCCGCGCTCCTTGACTCTCCATTTCCCCAAGGGCTGCTCCGACGACGGCTATTTTCTCATTTCTTGTTTCTTATATACTCGCGAGCCATTCACGCAAACGGACGTCTCCCTCATTCATCGGCTACTTTGCTTGCCGAACGAAGCGCAACTTCTTGTATCTGCCACACCCCCTCCCCCTCCCGCCCCTATTGTATGCCAAGTTTACTCGTGCATTCACTCTATATACTATAGTGTGAAGGCTATTAAAAAACTTTGGAATATATCTTTGGAAGGCGTACGCGAATACTTTGTTCACGAGGTATACCTATGTCACCAAAACACAAAACGCATATACTTTTCTGGGCTCGTCAATCAAAAAAAATGTTTTCTTCTTCATAGACCTTCCTGCAATGCTTTTTTTTCTTTTTTTTCTTCCATTTAAGACATGTAGTCACGGAAAATGCTCGTCAACCTTGATCAAGTAAAAAACAAAGAAAAGGAACTCTTTTCTCCGCCGTCCTTGTGTTGATAGGCGCTAAAGTCAGGCATGATTTCTTTTGTTCATAACTTGGGCCAGCATCTACTTGGAACGAACTCAAAAGTCATGTATAGAGTTTAAATTTATTTTCAAGTTATGCTTCGATCAAGTCAATATTGAAACGGGATCACTTCGGAAGCGTGTTTTTTCAAATCAGCTTAGGCCCCCATGAAAATCGGCTAAACCCCTTCAGAGATATGCGCGAACGTACATTTGAAAAATTCGAATCTAGCGCAGAACCTCACAGAAA